CATATATTATGAAATATATCTTACATGTAATTATCATTTAAACTTATATCCTTTTTAGTAATTTCTACATATCAAAAAGCATTTCTGACAATAATTATCCAAACATTCTCACTTTATCATAATTACTTTTTCAGAAAAGCTATTCTTTCAAAATCTATTCTCTTTAAAATCTATTTTCCAGAAGCTATTCTATAAACTATAGTTTTACCTTATCCAAACACCTTTTAGGAATGGTATTAACTTTCGACGGCGTCAGCTGATCAAAATGCAAAAGTTAATTAAAGTATCGGATTACAAAGTCAGACGTTGCGACCGCTCAGGAAATAAAGTCTGGTGCTCCGTATTATGGTGTTTATTCGTTATACCAGAAAAACAAGCGCATTTAATTAATTTCCCCTTGCATATCAACTTAACAAGGCTTCAGACTTATTGCTGCTAGACAATACCCCCAATCCTGTTTATAATTTACCTTTCACATGTCTTACACAGATAAAATTTTTTAAAAAATTTTATTAACTCTGATTTAAAATTTAATCACTTTTAATTTTAGTCATATTTAATATATATTATATCTCATGAAAAAAATCAGTACAATAATAAATAAAGAATAAAATTGTACATTCTCTCTCCACATAGGAGTACAATTTTATTTTATTTTTTCTGGCCATAATTTAGATTATTGGCTGTAACCAAAACACAAGACAAAAAAAAATCACAAAAGGAACCTGAAACTTACTAATAAACCCCTTGGCCAAAAAAAAAATCCCAAGTATCTTAAATCCTACAAGCAGCGAGCTTTTAGTTTCCAAGCTCTTCAATTTAACATTAAATTTGGGACGAACGAATTAAAATAGAATGTTATATATAAGTTGCTTTTTTAATAAAATATATTACGTATTAGCATTCTTTTCGAAAGCATGCTATCCATTTTTTAAAACAAAGATATGTAATTATGATAACTTCTAAAAATAAAATTTATTTATATTTTGTGTGAAATAAAATATGTGGTGGTGAGATTGTCAATATGTTAGATCGAGAAAAATCATACTCCTTTTCATGGCGAAGAATTATTAAATTGTAATTTATTTTATATTTAATATTATCTCCGGTTTACAAACAAAATCTTATAATTAGGATCAGAAGTATTATATTACTATGATTTGGTGTTATATTTTTTGTTATTTTCAAACTAAACCTAATACAATATGTTTATAAAGACATACAAAAGTGATTTAAAAGGAGTTCATACTTTCTAATCAAATTCATATTCCCCACCTTTTTATTTCAACACGGGGGCGAGCGTCTCGTTCACGTGGCGAAGCTTGCAGCCCTTCGCAAAATGCCGTACTTGCGAGGCCGGGACCAGCGAGCGCGCGGTCACGAGCTGCACGTGACTGGAACTCCTAAGAGGTAATCAGCTTTATCAGGTGTCAGGAGAGAGTCTGATGATCTGGATAAACAAATAAAAAAAGATGCGAGTACTATTTTTATATATATACTAGCTGATTTTCAAGCACCGATTAATATTGAATCAAGGGGTGCTGATTATATGCCTATGGACAAGTTTTCTCCTGTAGACCCCTTGAAAAAAAAAAGATTTTAAATCATATAAATGGTTTGTCATTGATATATGAATATGAATATAAAATGTATTTACCTCCCGTTATTGATATAATATCTACTTATTCGCTCGAAAAATATAATATCGACTCAACTTATTTAGATTAATTTGTAAAATTAGTTAAATTAATTATTTATCAAAAATACATGTTAATTTTTTTAAACAATGCCTATTCAATTGTTTCTATTAAAACTATGAATCATAGTCAGGTCAAATTTTTTATATTTATTATGTCGAGTTTTTCAATCATACACAGTCATATATCTTATTTTTGAAATGTTATCATTTGATTCTAAACCTATATAAGTAAAATATGACTAATGGTCATGTTGTAACTAAATGATAATATTTCAAAAATATAAGACATGGTGATGCGTGATTAAAGAATTTAACATAAAAGGTATAATAATTTTAACTTAAATATTTTTTTTAAAACTATCTCTTGATGCAAACTTTCTTAACATCTATAATTGATACAGATAATTGTAAAAGACGATAAGTATAAAAAATAAAATGAATTGATGTCTTATATTTCATATCAAATTCAATTCCCAACTAACTGTCAGATTAGGGATTAGATGGAGTAAAATTTTTGCTGCTAAACTTATTACTAACAAATATAATTCATCTTAAATTTTCTTCCTGAAGGCTTTCTGGAGCAAGTGGGAACCAGGTGCAGCAGATCAAGTATCTGGCATTCTTTTTGTTTCTTTTTCTTCTTGTCAAAAACGAAAAAGAAGAAAACTTACAATTTTTTTCCTATTATTATTTGGTGAATAACTTACATGCCAATTAACGAACTAACTGCCATGCCATGCCTCTCTAAGCATGATGTCAGGCCCTCAAAATTACGCTTTTGTCCTTCCGCTCACAAATAGCAGTACGTTACTCCAGAGACAATTGAACAAGGACATCGCGTGAAGTTTGTAATTAGGAAAGTAGAATGGGCAACGGGCGCCATGACAAGCACCAGCAAGACCAGTCCTCAAGGATGATAATTTTTTCAGGCCAATTTTCCAAATTTCACTTACTGCAGGAAAAATTCTTATTGGCTAAGAGAAAACTTCTTTGTAGAGAAATTACAATATCCCACCAACCAGTATATATATATATATATTTATACATCTAATTAACCAAGGCAAGAACGTTTTTGTGGAGATAATTCATAAAAGATATTTGAAATTACTAAATCTTAAATAACCTTATTTTTTTAATAAAACTGTGTTATTATTTTCAAGTCAAGTATTGTTAAAACCTAGCGTTATTAACAAATCTAATTTGAGATTTAATGATTCTAAATTTTTTGGTGAGATTTTCTATTTTTTATGTGATTAAAATTTGTGGAATTTGTTCTCATACTCTCTCCCATTCTCAGTAAGGGACCTGTTAGGATGTCTCAGGTATCAAAAATATAAGGTACTATTTGGATCACTAACTCATAAATTACATTATAAAATAAGTTTTATATTTAAAATCAAAAGAATATTTTTTGTCTAAAACATTCACTCCGGATCACGATAGAGAATAGAAATTTTGGGATTCATCAAAAATAATGCCAACCATTAATTAATAAATAATAAAGAGTCTAAAAAATTATTTATATTTTATTGCAAATTAATCAACTCGTATAGTTTTAACGTATTTGAAATAGCAAGGAGGGATTATAATATCAAGTATATTATAAAAGATATTTAAAAATTAAATATTGTAAAAAAAAAAATTGAGGTGAAAACCAAAAAAGTCCAAGATGAAAAAACGCATCTAACCGTGAAAGGTAAACCCATCAAAAGTCGTGTCGTGTTATTTTTGTTGTGCGGCAATTATTTTGACGTTGACCCGATAGAAGCCATTATTGTCTCCGCATGTGATTAGAGATGGTTAATCACTAATTAAGGCCCCGTTCGCTGAGGACACCAACGTTATCTAATCCCTCTCACTGTAACTACTTTTCTTTTCCGATTTCTTGGCACCCAAATAATAATAATAATAACAACAACAATAATAATACTAAGGTGGGGCCTTATATTTGCTCTTTGTTCTTTTGTTTTCTCCTGAGTTACCCAAAAAAAAAAATTGTAACTACTAACCAATGCATGATTCTTTGCGTAGCAAATGAATATATAACTGCATATTGAGCTGACCGGTGTTAAAAAAAAAAAATCGAAAGTGTTTGGATTTGAAAAATAGTAAATCGGGTTCAACTTGAATAATTTCCTCCAATTCTGCTAGTTATTAAAGTGACCTACAAAACCTTGTTATCAAGCAAAAGTGTTTTGAAATGTATCAAGTGAGGGGAGTTTGGAATAAATTTTCATAAGTAATTTAATAAAACTCGAGATAAATATATAAAAAAAAATTTGCTTCAATTTCAGTAATAGTGTTTTTTTTAAAGTAATTATGAAATTTTTCAAACACTTTGTAATGGAGCTTGGCTTCGAATCAATTTAAAAAAAAAATAATTTAGACCTTAAGCTTAAAATTACGATGGTATCCAATAAAATTGTCCGGAAAATTGCTCTACACACCGCGGTTGCACTCACTCGACGGCAATTACACAATTGGGGGGGGGGGGGACACAAATTTGCCAATTTTTGAGCCAAAAAAAGTGAAAAACAAATTAAAAAAAGTAGACATTGTGGCAGGGACTAGACCCAGCTTATGAGGGAAAGTGCCGGCCCCACCTCCCTAAATTTGGATATAATGTTGTTTTCATAAGGAAATTTCTAATTCTACTTCCCAAGTAAATTCTTAATCTCATCCCCTTATCAAAATTAGGTTCCACCTGTTCTGTATGCCTTCAAATTTAATTTTAACTGTGGCGAGGAATCTGAAAATTGAAATTTATTATCCGTATAATAAATAATGTGATTCGTAAGTGTCGTTATATAAATTAATATATGAATTAAATAATTAATTTACTTATATCAAAATAATTAACTAAGTTAGTTATTCATAATATATGTGTATTAATTTTCTAAATTATCTTATTAAATTATGTATATTAAAATTAACCCTTAAGATATACAATAGAATACTTCCTGATAAAAAAATTATAAATTTAAAAAACACATAAGCTGATATCTTATATTATGATAAAATCCAATCCCACGACTAATTATCATATTAAAAACTGAAGCTTGACTAGCTTTCTTTAGAGTTTTTGTTTTGTTTTTTTTTTTTTGAGTGTGAGGTCACAACTCATAAGTTTAAAAAAATATAATAAAAATTTAATTTAATTAATTATTCAAAAAGAAAGTGAGAGTAAGGGTAGTTTTGGAATAATATCGTTGAAGAGGTGGCAGTATGGTTTAGTAACATTATTGAGAGAGAGGGGGAGAGAGGCTTTCTACGTATTCTGTGGTCCGGAACAGCTGATAGCTACTGTTCAGAAGTCAGAGAGGGTGAGAGACGCGCTTCAAAAACACATCTTAAACCTCTTCTACCCTTCTCCTTCTTTGCTCCTTCTGTCTTCTCTCTCTCCCTCCCTTGCTCGCTGTCCCTCCTCTGTTGCTTCCCCACGAAACAAAGAGGAGAGCAGATAATTTAAACTTCTGAAGCTGAGTGACGAAGAGCCATTTTCTTCATACTGAAGGTGGTGATAATGCCTTCCAAAGGCTCAATTTTTTCTTAGTTTCATTTTCTCATCTGCATGCTGATCCGCTCTCGGTTCATGCCTTCATTTTTTTTTTTGGCTGATTTTGTTTTGCTTTTGTATGTCTGGGTACGATTATCTGCATGCACGTGTCTCACTTTTAAGCTTCTTCGCTTTTTCCACCTCTCTCCCCTTTGGTTTCCTTTCTGGGTGTGTGATTATGAATTGCTATTTCCACTTTCCTCTCTGGGAGATCTTACACGAACCTCTATCTTTTATTGTTCTGTAAAAGTGCCACTTGAAAAGCTGGTAAAATTTGTAGGAATCGTGTTATGATTTACCAGCCGCATCGTGCGTGATCAATACTTGCACTCTCACTTTCTTCCCAAGCCAAAACTTATTTCGGTTGATCTATAAAGGGTAGTCAGTATGCTGCATTATATGCTCTCTGAAAATCCTTGTCTTTTTTTACTATGTGAGCAAATTAAGTAATGTGCAAGGAAGTGTTTGCTTGTTTCGTTTCCTTGTAACTCTGGTTTAAAAACAGTACAATTCGAGGTAACTTATCTTGTTTTCTCTTGTTTGGTAGCTTTGAAGCTAAGCAATTTGGACTGTTGTCTGGTTTAGCTTACTAGATCAAGCTTGTGACTTTTTTGTTGGGGTCTCTCTAAATTGATTAAATATTGATAACTAGTTAATGATGTTACCAGGTGGGTAGGGGCTGAGAACGATGCCAAACCAGCTATGGTTTGTACTGCCAATGATTTACAAAGCTGGAAAGATTTTCCCAAGGGACTTAGGGTTCTTCTCCTTGATGGGAACACCAATTCTGCTGCCGATATAAGAGCAAAGCTGGAGGCCATGGACTATATTGGTAATACTTTTTTTGTTAGCTTCCCTTACTTTTTCACCTTCTTGTATTTCGGCCCAGCAATTTCCCACTTGCTTTATTAATGAATAGAATTGGTCCCCATTTTTTTTCCCCCCTCTTGGCATCCCGTAAAGTTTCGTTGCTTTGGATGCTCTGGATATAATTCTGGGGAATTTTGTGGTATGGGATTAAATGGAATCGGAGGTTAGACAATCCTAAAGTACGCTATTTTTTTATCCTTTTGCTATGCTTAATGTTATTTTTGGTATTCTTTTAAATGACTTATAAAGCTGCCAAAATATTCATTTGCTTCTGAACCATATGCATTAAGTGTTTCAATAACTTCATGTGATCCAAACTATGAGAATTTTAAGGACAGATGAATTTCTCACTCGCTTTGAACGGCCCAGTCTACTCATATTTGGTCCATGGATATGCTTAATTAGCATGGATTAATTACGTGAATGTAAACCAATAGCATGTATTGAGGTAAACAAAACCATGTCAAAAAGTGAATTTTATTAAAACTATTTTAAGAACAAACTTAAGCAGAGTTTTGAATGCTATTGAAATTTCAAGTTGCATCCCTATATTCCCACAATCCCGTTATCCTTTGTTTTATTCACATGCCTGTCACTCTGTTAATCTGCTTAGTAAGCCTCAGCGTAATTGTGCAGTTTCTATATTCTGCAACGAGAATGAAGCCTTGTCGGCAATCTCAAGCAAACCCGAAGGCTTCCATGTTGCCATTGTGGAGGTAATATACTTTAGAATTTGTGAAATTATTGTCATGACTTTTATCATTTAAATCTTCAATTCTTTTAGATTATTGGTATAAGACAGCATTAATAGTTTGATTATTCACCAACACATCGATCCTACTTGCACCTATAATTGCAGGTTAGTACAAGCAATGACCAAGGGTGTTTCAAATTTCTTGAGAATGCCAAGGACCTGCCAACCATTAGTGAGTTCAGAAACCAACCCTAGCTATGCAATTTTTTAACTTGTATTTCTCTTCCACTCCCAAGGGGCATTCTATTCTAAATGGAACTTAAAAGTCGAATGCTCAGTCTGAATTCATTACAAGTAAAACCAGTTTTTAATAAGGAGAAGCCGACACATTGTACCTTTCAAGTCCAACAATTAGTTTCGCCTCTCTCTGGATCTTTATCTCTTGCTATTTTTTCTCTAATAACTGTAAGTTCTAAGGATTTTTTTCACCTTTTTTCATTTGTTTCATGGTCGTCAGTCATTTTTTTTTTTACATAACTTGAAAACTTCTTTTTGCCTTGAGAATCTTGTAACCTTCTTAATGCATGCATGGTCTGTAAGGGAACATTGCATGAGAAACACAAGTAAGAAGTTTACTCTAGGATCCTTCTCCTGACACAGTTTTCCTAACAAGTGATACTTTTAATTTGATGCAGTGACTTCAAACGATCATTGCCTCAGCACTATGATGAAGTGTATAGCAGTAAGATTTCGGCTTAACAATATTAATCTCAGTGGTTTTTTTTAAATTAAAAATAACACAGCATAAAAGGAAAAACAAGAAAACAGTCCTACTAGCGTATACCAACCAGACTTCCTAAACTGTTGCAGTAAGAATATACAATCCAAGACCACTGCTTTATTTAGTATCATTCAAACTTAGATTTAATATTCTATTTGATGTTTTTGCATTTTTTGGTTAGTTCATACTTTTAGCACTTTCAAATCATAGACCAAAATCTGAACTTTTCCTTTTAAACCAGGCCTCTCTAATAGAAGTAGTGACTATCTAGTTCAAATGTCAGCAGTCTCTTTTCATTGCATCCTAGTTGTTGATGCTTTACTTTTGATTCTGTCTGTTCTTTCTTAAGCTTGGCGCAGTTGAGTTCCTAAGAAAACCGCTCTCTGAAGAAAAGCTCAGGAATATCTGGCAGCATGTGGTTCACAAGGTCTGATAATAGTTATGGCATTATGCTGGCGTTTACTATGAACATAATTTGAACAAAATTGTTCCTGATGTAGTTTAATTGAGCAGGCATTTAATGCTGGGGCAACTGTCCTGTCTGAATCACTAAAGCCTGTCAAAGAATCTGTGGTATCAATATTGCAGCTCGAAACAGAAAATAAGGAACAGCAAAGTAAAATCTCAATAGATATCGAGAAAGTATCAAGGTTTAGTGAACATGACCATGAGCTATCATCGGGGAGTGATAATAAATATCCAGCTCCTTCAACTCCACAATTAAAACAGGGGGCTAGATTACTGGATGATGGAGATTGCCATGAACAGACTCATTGCTTGACTGAAAAAGAAAGTGGAGACCTGGATGGGGAAACTATATCTGTCGAAACTACATGTGGAAATTCGAATTCTGAGGGTGCTACACCTCAACCAAGTAAGCCTGAAACGACTCTAATTAAGAAGGAAGAGGAGTATGCCAATGGTTCCAAGAGTGAGAGTGATGTATCTACACATAATCATGATGGAAATTTTGTGAGCAGCCATGATGATAGCACTGCATCTCCCAAAAAAGTAGGTGTTCTCAGTGATGCATGCGAGAACACAGCTAATAAAAAGAAATCAAAGAAGGTGAAGGTAAGCTGCTTTTTGATTTCTTGTTCTTGTCATCTTTGTGCATGTCCCTCTCTCCTGCTGCAAAATAGGCATTAAGCCTATACATCAGCACTTAATTTGTTTTTGGCCAAAATATATCAGCACTTATGGATAACCATGTTTAGATCCTTCCTCCTCCTCCTTCCTGTTAAAAATTTGGCATGCCTATTAACTCAAATCTATTGCATTATGTGACTACTGACTAGATGGGATGCCTATTAACTCGAATCTAGTAATGTGTCTAATTAGCATGGTTGGAGTAATTAATAATGGGACATGGATAGACACCTCTCTTTGTTGATGTCTTCTTGACGAAGTGCGTATAATAAATTTATTATGGAATTATCAAGTCTTAGACTTCTTTATTGAACGAATTATTAAGAGTTTTTTCAAAGGAGCTTCCAACTAAAATCACTTTGCAAAGCAGCATCACTCCAATCCTTGTCTCCTTCCTTGTATGTTGCTTTATAGAATGTATTTTCTTGTTGAGGAAAATCTTCTCGATATATGGACATCCATAATATACTGTTAAACTTGAACATGGCATTATTCTCAAAATTGTTCAGTCACCCGCTTACCAGGCTTCCATGAACTATTGTTTTACCACTAGCTTATGCGACTTTCTTCCATCTTACACCCTTGTGTTGTTTGTTTCTTATTCCTTTCTATTCTTTTTTATATAATGGAATTTTTTTCAAGTAAGCAAATGATTTACTGGTTCTGATGATCTCAACATGCTTTTGTCGAATAATTTTGGTTTCAGGTAGACTGGACGCCTGAACTGCATAACAAATTTGTTCATGCAGTGGAACAACTAGGTATTGATCAAGCCATACCTTCTCGAATTCTGGAGCTAATGAAAGTGGAGGGGTTGACAAGGCATAATGTGGCTAGCCATCTTCAGGTAATTGTTTAGCTTGCTGGTTATAGTCCCAGTTTCTTTCAAAAACAACGCTGCTAGTGGCACTAGATGATTATAAAAAGCCATATCCATGTATCCTCTTAGGTTGACTCAAGTTACTTTTTTCCTTTTTTTTGGTCGAACAGAAATATAGAATGCACAAGAGACATATCTTGCCTAAGGAAGAAGATCGAAGATGGCCAAATCAAAGAGATATAATGCAAAGGAGCTATTATGTGCCAAGGCCCATTATGGCCTATCCTCAATATCATTCTAACCACACCTTATCTCCAGCTCCTATGTATCCTATGTGGGGTCAACCAGGAAGTCAACCGGCTGGTGTACAGATGTGGGGCCCACCTAACTATCACGTATGGCAGCCTTTTCCGGGGGTACTATTTCTCATCAGAACTAAAGCTGTGTTTTCCTTTGTTTTACAAACCACTTTGAGCGGCCCTGTGATGATTTGCCATATGGTTGATGTTTCAGATGCACGCAGAAGCATGGGGTTGCCCTGTGTTGCCACCTTCTCAAAATCCTTGTTTTTACCACACTCAAGTGAATAACGCTAATAGAAGATCTTAACCTTCCCTTATTCTGAGTATCATGAGTAAATCTAACCATACCTACGGCTAATTAAACTTTTCCTGTCAAATGCAGCATACGCCTGGATTGCACAGTGCTAATAACGTTGATTATAACTCTAGCATGCCTCCAAGTTCGTTGGAGCATCATCCGGTAATGCCATACCTTCAGAATAGTTTATAATGCCAAGCTACCAGTTTTTACATGGGGCATCCCAGTTAAAGTTTTCACTTTCAAATCCTTAATAACTTTCACTATGCTTGAGCCTTGAAGATTCTAAATGGGCACGAAAATTTCCTTACAGTTTGCTTGTGTTGGGTGCATGCAGGCGGATGAAGTTGTTGACAAGGTTGTGAAGGAGGCAATAAGCAAGCCATGGCTGCCCTTGCCCTTGGGTCTCAAACCTCCTTCCACAGATAGCGTATTGGCTGAACTTTCTCGGCAAGGCATATCCACCATCCCTCATGGTTCCAAATCTATATAGCCACTGAGTCCCATCGAGAGTGACTCCGATGGCGACAAAATTTATGTTCTGGCTGGTACTAGAATTGCTGTTTTACCCAATAAGCAATTCTGCAATTTTTCTTTTTTCTTTTTTTCCCCTCGAATTTGAGATCCCAATTAAATGAACTGGTTAGGAGATGGAAGTTGAGGACCAGCGTACCTTGTCTGGTCCCTCTCGAACAACCGACCACTCTGAGGTTTCCACCAAGCTGATGATGTGAAGCTACACTCGAACAACAACAACAACAAGAAGAATGGACATCGATCCTATCCTATCCATTGCTTTTTGTTTGCCGGAATAAAAAAGCTCATTTCAGTGGGAGACACCCGTCTGGCAACATTGGGCGTCCCAGAAGTGGCCACGTGGTTGCTGATACTTACACCATGTTTGTGGCTGTAAATAAACAGAGTTTTGATGGGGATGTGAGTTGTGAAATGCACACAACTTTTGGGGCATAAAAGTGCAAGTGGCTGCAAATTCCAGAGTGAAATGTGTATGTGTGAGAGGGATAGGGTGGGCCCAGTAGTAGTCGTAGTGGAGTAGGTATCTAATAATGGAAACGGTGGCGCTTTTGTTTTCTTCTTCCCTTTTTTGAGGGTATGGCATGTAGAGAGAGTAACGTTGATATTTGCTGCTCTGGTGTTTGTTAATAAAAATGAGCGCAATCCAGGCGGAAGCTGACAATTCCATTTTCATGTTTGCTTCGAAACATAGTTCAGTTTAAAGCGTTCCTCTGCCTCCCTGCCGGTCTAGGCTAGCTTAGCTTGTTGCTTTCTTTTATTTCCTTTTCACGTCCAAACTAAGCCAGACAAAAACCTGTTGGCCACAATTTTTGTTTTAAAACAAAAAAACTACCCCTAGTTTATGCCATAGATGTTCGAAACTCTTGTCGTTGTTGATATCTAGTCTTGTCAATTGTGATGGTTAGTTTCTTTGGAAGTTTTACAAGTCTTCAGAATATCATTTGAAAAATGTTGCTTGTTTTTTTCAATGGTCAAAAGGTGGCAATCGAACGAATGATGGTCTTTTTTTTTTTTTTTGGCCCTATCATTCACCCAAAAGAAAAAAACTTGCACATTTATCATATTCATAAAGGCTCTCGCAACGCATAATGTCGTTTTGGAAGTTCAAGGTTAACATGTAACAACTTTTTTATGTACATTAACTCACCAGAAGCCAGAAGATGTAATAATTACAATTACAATTCATTATTGAAATTTCGTATGGATTTCTTAAAATAGATATTTGCTCCAATAACCTCCCCTCCAGTCCAAAAAAAAAAACTCAAATGGTGGGAATATTTAAAAAAGAAGAACGAAGAACACAAGCCCAGTGTTATTGGGCCAATGACCCATGCTAATTTGGACACCAACAGAGACAGCCCAACCAACATACCCAATACAGGTTGAAGAAATCTGCGATAAATAATAGGAAGGATCCCAAAAAATATATTTTAAAAATTTTAAAATTTTAAATCAGTTTTGTTTACTACACTTTAATAACAATTGAAAACATTTAAAAAGCAAATAACAATACATTTTTATAGTTATTCCTGATTTAAAATTTTAAAATTTTAGAAGTATTTTTTGGGGATTTTTCCCAAATAATACACTCATATAAGTTATCCATAATTTGTAAGGCAAAAAAAAAAAAAGAAGAAGAAGAAGAAGAAATATCATAGCAAATTTTAGATGCTGAATTCAACATTTAATATAATAAATTAATATATTCATGTTGTGGAGCATGTTGGCGTCTGCGCGCGTGCTTGTGATTCGGGAGGTTTTTGATATGATTTTTTTTGTGTGGGTATAATCATGGTTGAGAGATTCGTCATGGAACACTGTATTGTCATGGTTGCTGAATTGTCATGTTATGTTTGGGAGTATGTAATTATTATAGCTGAGACTTGTGAGTGGATTGTGATTAATTATGCATTCCCGAATATTCCGTTTCATAATTGATTGTTTTTTTTGTTTTTTTATTATTTTTTTAAAAAATAAGTGGACAAAATTGACCGAATGACCGCCTAAACTAAAATGTGATGAAGGCAGGTTGGAAGCTAAAAGTTCAAGTAATTCAAGTATAATTAATATAAGTGGATATAATTAATGTTTACTTCCATAAATTATTATGTTAAGAGGTGCTTAAATTATTTATTATTTTGTAACAAAAAATTTACTATTTCTTAGATTAAAAACTATACTTATTCTGTCTCCCTTTCAACATAAATAAATAAACATTAATCTGACTTTTGAGTAAGAAAAGATGAACAGGTAACGATAATTTTTAATCCAAACACTCTTAATTTTGATAGATAAAATATGACTAAAAACATTTTTTAATTGCTGCACCCCACATGCAAAACATTAGTAATTGTTCAGCTGTGGTCTAACATGCAATTAAAAATTAAAATTAAGTCCATTTCAACCTATTAAAAAAATCAGACCGTGTGTATGCATGCTTTTTTATGTGTGGACACGTGTATGCAAACGTTGACAAGGATGCGACCGTAATTCCCAATACTTACGTCGTGCTGATCATTAGGAGCGGGGGAGTTAGAGAGTTACGCGCCTTCCCACTCTTTCGCAATCTCTTTCCGCCCCACGCATTAGTTAATTAGAATTTTGTGGCACCATATTATCCTATTTTATTTCTAGGCTTAGCAGTACCATATATACTTTTTTCTTTGAGATAAGTAACAATTTTAAACTTAAGTACGTCTGTGTGGGGATTATATACCAAATATATGTGTAATACTCTCTTATCAGCCTGTCCACAAGGAACCTTTTAGTTGAATGACTCTCAATAAACGTCTTTATATTAAGTATAAGTCAATAACCACCTTTTAGTTGAATGACTCTCAATAAACGTCTTTATATGCTAAATATATATATGTAATACTCTCTTATCAGCCTGTCCACAAGTAACGTTTTAGTTGGTTGACTCTCAATAAATGTCTTCATATTAAGTACTCCTCCGATCCTTATTATAAGACCCAATTTGACTTTTTATTTGGTCCTAATTATAGGACCCAATCCATTTTGTCTCTTATATTTATGCATTTTTTTCCAAGATAATCCTTCTAATAATGATAGTTTTAGCCAATATACTTAATTAGCAAGGATATTTTAGGAATGACAACACTTATTTATTATAAATAACCAACTTAACTTACTTCCTTAATCTCCTCAAATAAGTCAATTGGGTCTTATAATTAGGACCGGAGGAGTACTACCTCCGGTCCTTAATATAAGACCCTATTTGACTTTTATTTTGCTCATAAATATAAGACCCCAATCCACTTTGTCTCTCATATTTATACATTTTTTTTCCAAAGTAGCCATTCTAACAATGATAGTTATAATCAATACACTTGATTAGTAAGGATGTTTTAGGAAAGACAATACCTATTTAGGACAAATAACTAACTCAACTTACTTCCTTAATCTCCTCAAATTAGTCAACTGGCTCTTATAATTAGGACCGGAGGTAGTATAAGTCAATAGCCACATTTTAAAAGCTAGCTAATTGGAATACGTGGGTAACTCCAAAACTTTATTATGCCTCTCTTTCAAACTTATTATCCAATATTTATAAAACTCATAACAGTGAATTTTATCTGACCTCTTAAGGTTCCAATACGAGATCACTTGTTAAGTTAGAATGACCTCACAATCATTCAATCCAAATACTCAATGGTATGACTTGTCATAATTTTTATTTTTTCATATATTATTGATATATTAGTATTAAGACATCATATGACATTATACAAAAGTTTGGCGCGAGTCTTATCTAAAGGATATTCAATCCTTAGTCATCTCATGTTATTTTAAAAAGCAGAAGCATACTCGGCAACTGTGAAATAACAACCATACAAGACTGGAATTCATATAGCTTTATTATATGTCAACCAAGCTATTAATAATGGCCAAACTAAGAGCACTATGAATTCACACACACACACACACATGTATATAATGGATCATGTATTCAAGAACAGACGGGTAGGTCATAATAATAAAATCATTTACAGGGGAAAGGCCAAATCCCACCGCTACTCGGGAATTTTTATTTCCCCCCTTTGTTCATCCCAGCATGTCTCTATCCAATGCAATAGGACTTTCAAGATCTTTTTAAAATAAATTTGTAATTTCTCTTTCAATATCATAATATGACAATTGATGGTTAATAACCCTTAATCAAACTTCAATTGAGGGATAATCTAATGCTTTTATCTCAAAGGGATTTTTTTTTATTTCTGTTTTTTTCCTCATTCAATGTTCACCCTTTTCTATAGAGTCGGGTAAGATGAATTTTCCAAATCCTAATATACACGCTAGTGACATTCATACATACATATATTACAGCTATTAAAAAGTTTTAGATAATGTTGTTTTTAGGTCATTTTTTTTTTCCTGAATTTGTTTTGTTCCTATACTATGGAATATAGTTCTCCTGTTTGGCTGGAGGGGAATGAATGAGAGGCGATGGCCTGGTTGGAAGAGGAGACGTGAGTTCTATTTCGGATAAAAAAGAAAGAAAGAAAGAAAGAAAGGATGAATGGGATTATAATTATAAATTTTTAATAAAAAATAGTATCAAACGAGAGAGCAAGGACAATTAATTAAAAAATTTTAATCTTACTTTTTCAATTTTTTAAAATCAAACTCAATCAAATCTCACACCTCTCTCTATTTTTCTTCCATCTACTAGTCTATTTCTCTCCAAATAAACGGAGCATTTATCATTTGCTAAAAAAAAAAAAAAGTGAGCATTTATCATACATAAATGACAAATTTTATTACAATGAAGGAAATATAAATAATCGGTCATTTAAGTTTGGGAAAACGTTTGTCGCTTGCTCATCAATGCAGGCATCAGGATAAAACATTTTCCTCAGCGTCATACGTTGGGGCGACGCCTTCTGCTCTTCTGGGACGTAGGATCTGTAGTTTGTCCAATTTACCCCCATTTGTTGCGGCAATGTTGCAAAGGACTAAGGAACCAATATATGAAATAGCGATGGGAGAAAGGAGGGCATTGACGTCATTCTGTTAGGAGCATCGGCAACGGAACCCAGCAATTTTCGGCTTGCACATCACAAAAATGTTTATAGGCTGCACCCGAGGTCAGAGGTGGGCCTCGTGCTTGCCCTTTTTTAAGTTTTTCCCCCACTTTTTATTTTCACTCACCGCTTCTCTTTTCTCATCGCGATTCCATCTCAAAAGGCAGGGAAGGAGCTCGCAAATTCGTATCTGAAGAGTTTCTCAGTTCTCTCTGTAAGCTCTTTTTTGCTTTGTATCTAGTTCCAACTTTGTGTTCACATTTTCTTTTCGCTCTTTTTTCTGTCGGGTTTGGTGTGTTATCACCTTGATTTCCCTTTAAAAGTTTCTATCTTTCTCTTTTCTCCGTGGAATGAATCGGCAAAATTTCTGCATACAATTTCCCGAGCTCGAGTTTGTTGGGATTTCGGGGCATTGCGAGCAACAATATATATATATATATATATATATATGCATACACATACACACACATAAAAAAGGTCGGCATAGATTGCGTTTCGCAGAATTAAAGCTTGTGGTGATCAACATCTTTATTAAACAGTTTCTCTGCTCTCTGACAAAAAGATTTAAGAGAGTATGATATGGGAGGGCAACGTGCTATGTTTAATAGAGACGACTTCGTCTCAGAATGGAGGGAACTCTACTTTCTTGGTTTTAGGAAAGTTTGAGCTTCTTCTCTTTAAGAATATCTGAGGTTGAATTAGCATGTAATATATACAATGAAGTTATTGTTTTGGCATTTCTCCTATATTTCAGCCTGAAATGTTGGTTTTATCGTTTCACTGATGGTTTCCATGTCTTCCTTGTGCATAATGAAAATGTGGGTTTCTACAGAAGACATTGATAAACCATCCAACATTGGCCACGTGATTGTCTTCTGTTCGTGGGATTGAAGTACAATTAAGAGGTAAAGGATGGCATGTAAGGGCTTCTGGGAGTGCCTTTTGAGACTTCTGAACTTCTTGATGACTCTTGTTGGTCTGGCAATGGTGGGCTATGGGATCTATCTGTTAGTTGAATATCAAAGAGCTAAGGGCAACATGCCGACTTTTGCTCCTATCAGTGATGATCATGCTCTGATTCAACTTGGTCGTCCCTTGCTAATGTCTGTGTCTTTATCAAACAGTGTATTTGATAACTTGCCCAAGGCTTGGTATGTATGTTGCTCTTTTCTCTCTGATATAACGAGGGTTGAATATTTTTACTTCTTCCAAATTATATGGAAGATGTCGAATCTTTTCATACCTCCTATTTTGCTGCTTTAGCGTGCAATATGGATCTTAGGTAGCACAATTTTCTTTGTTATGAGTTATAATCACGTAATACTTAGTGTTTCATTTGTTAGAAAGTAAATCATGGTTAGTATCTAGAAATGAATCCCATTTAGCTTTGGAAGAAATACTTTCAAAATGTAACCTGAATAATCAGAGGAATAAACCTCTCTAATTTCCTTATGGGTGCACGGTTTATGTGGTAGGGTTTTTTTCCACATTTTATGATTAGAAAGACAAATCTTAAATGTACACTTCCCAGCTTGTTAGGCATGGTATAAATTTGACTTAACCATTTTACCTTTAATGAAGCGGTCTTAAATACCAAATCTATTAGTGCTGGAGACAAAAATGTATCAATGGAAGATCATGTACTCATTTTTCGTTAAAGCAATTTAATTTGATGGAGGTGCATGGACCCATTTATTATTTTTAGTTCATGAATAATGTTTTACTTTTTATGCCATAAAGTATCTTTTTTCCCTCATAATTTTTGTCTGTGACTCGTTAGTTTCTCCCTCACAGTCAAAATCTTGTTACATGTGCTTGACTCATGTCTATTGCTTTACAATTTACGTTGTAAAATGTAGTTGACCAAGCTCAAACCGTGTTATCTTAGTCCTGTCTAACACCCATTGCATATTTCATGTTTGCCAGGTTTATTTACTTCTTCATTGGTATTGGAGTAATTCTCTTTGTCATTTCTTGTTTTGGTTGTATTGGAGCTGTGACAAGGAATGGCTGCTGCCTGAGCTGTGTATCCTTGTAGAATGTCCGATTTCATTGTCAAAAATATATGCCAGGTTCTTAAAGTTTAACTCTAATATATGAAGCTTGAGTTAAACACCTCTTTTGTCTTTTGCTTTTCTTCCTCCTGTGTGTGTGTTTTTGTGGGCATGAGTATATTAATCAGATGGTAGCTATGAGTTTCCTTAAGCCGACATAGTATTCAGTTTTGGTAGCACTGTTGATTTTGGCTGAGCTGGGGTGTGCTGCCTTTATATTCTTTGACAAAAGCTGGAAAGAAGTAAGTTATCAATGGTGATCCATAATCTGAAATTCGAAATGTTTTTTCTTTCTTTCTTTTTTTAAAAGATTCAAGACGGCATATTTCTTATCTTACAGTTATAAACTTTCAGGAAATTCCTGCAGATGTAACTGGAGATTTTGATATGATATATAAATTTCTGAAAGAAAACTGGAATGTCGCAAAATGGGTTGCACTGGGAATTGTAATCTTTGAGGTAAGCAAGGAGTGGTGCAATTGACATCTATATGCAGCAGACAAGCATATCTCCTTTTGCACAATCCCAGATTTATTATACCACCAAATAATTAATTTTATGTTGGATGCGATATATGTGGCCAACATCACCTTGTGGGAGAAAGCTTGTTGTTGTTGTTTTAAAGTTTTATCTTCACTCTTAGGATATTTGAACTTCTGATTAGGAAAATGCAATGCTCTTGATCACACTTGATAAGTTTGAAGGTGATGAAACTGTATTGATGCTCACCATCATCCTGCCTATAAATACCTGGTCATTATTCATCAGTAACAAAAGAATGTTGGGTTTTCCGGAATTTAAGCCTAAACTGTACGCTCAAGACTAATTAGCTAAGTTCTTCTAATATTTAGGTCACTAGGCACTAACGTTCTTTACAAGAAAATGCTGCTTTGATTTGAGACCAGTTCACGTTAGGGAGGAAAGGCCGGTTAGGAAGAGAAGAGGGGAGGTGAAATATAGAACAGTCTCAGACACAGACAAAATAGACAATTTTCATTAAATCAGTATCAGTCAACTATGAAATCCGATATTTTTGGCGGTATACTTTTATATGTTTGTCTAAGGATTGTGCTTGGAATTGCAGGCCCTTCTTTTCTTGTTAGCTATTATTGTTAGGGCTGTAAATAGGCCGGCCGAATATGACAGTGATGATGAGTTCATTGCTCCTAGGCCTCAGATTCGGCAGCCATTGCTCAACAACAGGCCTACAGGTCCAGTAACAGGTGTACCAGTTGCAGGGACACTTGACCAACGTTCAAGCAGAAATGATGCTTGGAGCGCACGGATGAGGGAGAAGGTTCTGTCTTTTTCTCTGCAGTTCATTTTATGTTATTTTTATTATTGGATCCTGACATACTGCTTGTCTCCATGGTTGCTCTTTTAGAATTTCCATTCAAAAAGAGTTGATAAGATCTTTGTGGAAGTTTGAATTTTATTTTACTTGTCCATCCAAATAATTTTCTGAGTAAATTCTCTCGTTATTGCATTGTAAATGACTGTATTGATGATATCACTGTTTGTCATTTGTATTATGAATGCTTCTGATGCTAGCACTGTCCTTTATTCAGTATGGACTTGATACTTCGGAATTTACATATAACCCATCGGAGCCACAGAGATCGCAGCAAGCGAACTCGCAGCCAACTGAAGAAGGGAGCGGCTGTACTATCATGTGATCACACTTTTGTGCATTGCCGATCAAAGCAAAGAGGATTTGACTTTGAAGGATTGTTTTTTTGTGGACCGATGGGGGTTGAAGACAAGAATTTCATCAGAGAAGCCCTTTTCTTTTGTTGAGTTTGTGCACAACTAACATTTTTGTGTACCCAACCAACTTTTTCTTTCCAAATTGGTGTGTAATGTTGTGCTAATATCAAAATTGTTTGTTGTGTTGCTTTTGTTCATAGATCGGAAGAATAATGAAGTCGTTGTCATGATGATTATTGTATCATTCTGCTGGGAACCAATGCTTTATATTTCTCCTCCCTCCAATGCGTCTTACTAAACTATTGATGGGATAAAGATCATCTGGCAATTCATTACTAATGTCTCTGCCATTTATGTTTTGTTTTCACTGAGATAAAAACCTGCAAAGTACGTTGGTTCAAGTTCAAGCGGCTTCGTACCGATCTCCTTGAAGAAGATCTCAAGTTTGGGAAAAAACCTCGTACTTTGACTTGATTTAAATTAGAGTAAAGGTGTAACATTGTGATATTTTTCATAGTGCCGCGGGCATCCTAATTTTATCCTCTTTTTTTTTGTGCATCCAGTATTCTAATTTTATTTTTAATGCATCCAGCACTCTAAAAATTAGGGTGTTTGATGTAATTAAAAAAAAATAATATCGGGGTGTTGTATGTACCTAAAAACTAAGACTATGGTGCTAGATATATCACAAAAAAGATTAGAATGCTAGATGCACTTAAGAAAAAAAATCAAGATGCTAGATGTATCTTTACCTTTTAAGGGTGTGTTTGGAATAGCGGTGACAGAAGTAACTTCTTTTCAATCTGACTTTTATAGAAGTCAGATTGAGGGGGTGTTTGGCATTCTCAAAACCGCGGTTTCAGAAACATTTTTTCGTAAAACGAGATAACCTCCTCCACATATTTACCTTGTAATCCGTAAAAGCACTTCTAAAACCATAGTTTGGTTTCTATCCAAACACCCCCTGAGTAAAAGTCAGATAGGGTAATGTGATTTATGTTTGGATTGAGTTTTGTAAAAAAATCAGTTTGAGAAGTTTAAACTTGTTTGGATGATAAATGTAAAAGCAAGTTTGAGTGCAAAATGACTTAAAAGGACATAAATTTTATTAAATATACATATCTAATATTATATATATATATATATATATATATAATGAGACTATTTTAAAAGAAGTAAGGAAAATAAAATTATTAAAAGTAAAGAAATTTAATTTATTATTAGAAAGAAATTATACATATATGTGACCATTTTAAAAGAAGTATTGACAATAAAATTATTAAAAATAAAAAAATTTAATTTATTATTAGAAGGGAATTGAAAAATACTAAATATTTAATTAAATATATTACAACTGCAAATAAAACAAGAACACACAACACTAGGAAAACTCAAAATATTGTAACCTTTCTCCTCATTTCACCGCACTAGTATTGCAAAAACGGAGTGCCAAACATCACTTTTAACATAAAAAGAGCTTTTGCTGGTTGAGATGTACGTTTGGGATCTCAAACTTGATCCCAAACAGGCCCTAAATTAGCTGAGTTTAATGTACTTTCTGAAAATTAGTGATTTGATTTTGGGCCAACCCATCACTCGATCTTCTTGCAACGTGCGATGACACCCATAGTTTAAATTTGTCACTCGAAGACCCTTGTGGAATCACGTATAAATATGTTTTATATAAATACAGATAAAATTTTTTTACATACTTATCTTGTATTTTGCAAATTATAATTAAAAAGTTATTTATAAGTGATTCCAAACAGTTACTTAGACTACTCATTGAATGTCAAATTGATTTTCTTCCTTCCAATCCATCCAATCCACTAAATATTTTCAATCAATAATATCAATTATAAAACTGAGCTCCCTTTATATGTTAGTTAAATGGGTCAAGATGTCCTGCCGTCAAAATCAGCCGCGTCGGCGGGGCAAATAAATCTCAAAATCGTGAATTAATTAATTAATTAAATGAGTCTGAGAAGTCTCGGCATCAACTTGTGATTCAATATAAATTATTCAGTTGTTTCACATGTTTGTTCCGCGTAAGGATGGAGAATGCTTCTTTTAGAATGATATTGCATATTATTTATACCCATTCAGCGTCACTCTAATTTTACCGTGGAAAACCATATACAACGCACTTATATTTTTATATTTGTTTCCTTTGCTGCAATTACTCCTATCTTTTGTTTCTTTCAATAAACTATTTGATTTTCTAATAACAGATGGCTTCAGCTGTTGGATCTGACCTAAATAATAGCAACTACTACTAACTCCATTTTAAGTAATTAAAGTGGCTAGTAGCGCCTGACAAAAATAACGGCAAAGAGGGACAAGAAGAGAAGAAAATAATAATTATGTATAAGTTGACCCTTCTGAACTTTAGACCATGTATGGATAACCTCTATAACTTTTGAAACTGTACAATGAATCCCCCTAAATTCTTACATATATGCGGATAACTCCCATACCACTAGTTTTGTACATTACTTATCCATACACAATCATAAAGTTTATGAGATTATCTACATAAAATAAAGTTTAAGGGCTTGTATAATTGATAATTGGAGGTTCTGGGCATAGACTTAAAAGTTCATGGAGGTTATTATTGAGTTTTAATAAAGATTAAGGAAATTATTTGTACATGATCTAAAATTTACAGGGTTCTGTGTAATTTAGCCTGATAATAACAATGGATAAAATTATGTTAGTGGGTGGTGTTGTGGCGGCAAAATTTGTAGCATATATGGTGAGTTGGATTGGTGGTGGTTAAAGTGGATGGAATCTATTTGTTGAATCTTTGGCTTCTCTCTTATTGATTCAATTATAGGGGTACTAATGTCATAAAGTTGTTGGCAAGAAATGTTAATGAAATGAGGAGGCAATCACAAGACACCATCGCAGATAGAACACAACTTGATCCACCAATGAGATCTTTCCATGAAACTTTGTTGTGTATCTACTCATTTCCTCTTTCGGTTTCTTTAATCACCTTCTTCTACTATCCCAGCTAATTGCATGACGTGCTCTCTATATATTATACGCAAATAATGCTCAATATATATATATGCTCTTCTCTTAAAATAATGGCGACTTGTCTAGTTACCAATGAGTAGCTATTTTGTTACTCCATATGTATATTTCCTTTTTTGGCATGCTGTTTTATTTGTATTGAATAAGAACTAGTGTCACTGTCCAATACCTGTCCCGAATATTATTGTGTTTTGGAGGATGCTTGGTCCAAAAACGGAAGCAAGTGGAACATTTTAAAGAGAAGAGGATAATGCATAGATGGGTCATGTTGTATGATTTCTCCACTCGTGTCCATAAGTACACAGTGATTTGGATTCTGAAAAATCTGCAAAAGGATGTTTGGATGCGTGGTTTTATCGCCATTGTTTCAGAGCAGAAGTGCTTATCCTTTTCTAGCCTGTACTCTATTGATCTTTTGAAAGCTAATATTGGAGCTCTCTGGGTATCAACTTACTTTTTTTTTTTAATAACTATTACTTCAGTTATTTAATATGAGAGCTAGTTTGACTTTTAATTTGATTCTAAATATCAGACCCTAATTTACTTTGTCTCTCATATTTATTCATTTCTTTTAAAGTAGTCATTGTAATAGTTGTGCATGTTAAAAGTTCATGAAATGATAATTTTAGCTAATATACATGATTAGTACAGGTATTTAAGGAAAGACAATGCATATTTATTACAAATAACTGACTTAACAAACTTTTTTAATATACTTGAATTAGTCAACTAGCTCTTATATTAAGGACCAAAAATAGTATTTGATATATAATATCATTAATCTTGTTCATAAGTATAGTTTTGCACGTTTGATTGTAATGTGTAATGCGTATAGTTGAGGGGGAAGCAATGAATGAAACCGTGTATATTATTTTTGCAGCATTATATTACAAGGTTTTTTTCTCTTTATAGATAGATCATGACTATACAGTGGGGCTTTCTTTTTTAAAAGTAACTAGATTCTGTTTTGTAGATTGTAGGAGAACTTTTTTGTTGGTGACACCTCGCATATATGCAGCTATTTGGCTCCAGCCATACTGCTTCTGTTTCTGTATTTAATCATCCCAACTTTGGAAGGAAGATATATATATTTTTTCTGGTTTCTAAGTTTGTAATGATTATGATATGGTCATAATAACAGAGAAAAATGTTTCTTCAGAGGGCCGTCATGTTGTAATCAAACTAGCTTCTATTTGTTGTTACCAGCAAAACGGAACTGTGATCTTTTGTATTTTCTCATTGCGTTATCATTAAGTAAAGATATAATTTCACTCTAACTTTTTAAGCATTTGCTATGAACCGCACATTTGATATGAAAATAAAAGAGGGGACCACATGAATAGGATTAAGTTTGGTATGTTTCTCTATGGCCATGTCTAACAGCTTCCAGCTTCAATTTTGCAATCTTGCTGGTGGATGTACAGTAACACACGCACACACCAACTTGTTATCAATACAAAAGGACAAGAATCCAACCCCCCACAAAAAATAAAAGAAAAGGGCAAACAAGGTCATAGATTAGTAGAAAAGTCGAAACACCAGGAGATCGTAGATTAGTAGAAAGTAGTACTACCTCTGGTCCTAATCATAAGACCTTGTTTGTTGACTACAAACAAGGTCTTATGATTAGGACTGGAGATAGTATTTATTTATTAATTCATCAGGTCCAGGTTCTCTCATGTCTCTATGCTGCCTTCACAGAATAGGTCTTTTATCTTTGTAAATAAACCTTTTATCCCACTTTTTTCTTTTTATATGGCTAGAATCTTGCTGTGGCAAAGAGGGGAATCTCACTTACACCATTTAAAAAGCCTGGTTTTCTTTTTTAATCACAACCCATACATCCATTTTACTATTCAACTCACGAATAAGAAAGATTTAAGGAAAAAATATGTTTGGTGTCGTTGGATTATGGAACCCCAACAATACATAACCTAGGGGGTGAATCTTAGGTCTACGACTTTTAAGAAGCTATGTTATTTACTTTACATGTGGAGCAAATACTTTCGACCTTCACGTACGGTTTGTAGAAATTGTGTTCAAAAAGTGGATGCTCAAAGACCTTATCCGACACGCTATGTTCATATACATGTACTACACGAAGGTTCTTAATAAATAAATGTTTTCATAAACAATTCTGTGTGCAAGATCTCTCCATTAAAGTTGTCGACCTAGAAGATGCTTAAACTCTACCCCCTTTTTGTTTTTGTTGATGCCATCGCTTTCTCTAATTACTCAGTTGACAACGCGTGAAAGTTTTGTTTTCTAATTTTCTATTCACTAATTCCCCTCAATTCCTGTTTAAGTATAGCAGAACTATGATAATTATTATTTCATGGTAATCAATGAGCGAGGTTTTTGACTTTTAACTTGCATGCATGTATTCAAACAACACCATCAAATCACTGTTGAAGATTCCTAAGAAAATTCAAAAGCCAGAGATTGTTGCTGTCCTTAAATAAAAGTCAAAAATCTTATCCCAAATTATTGTTAGAATGCTCAAGTGGGTTAGATTTTTGTGGACGATTGGGTTTCAGAGAGTACAGTGTTGAGGAAGACTTCGCCTTCATTAACACCCAAGCAAATACGGATAACTTGATTTATACACAGGGCAAAGAAATATGAACTCTAATAAATGACAATCTCCTAGGATGGGTCAAACTTGAAGCAATCAATTTTTTTTGGAAGGATCACTCCCCGAATCATCCCTCTACATTCTGTTTTGTACGAGAGAAATGGAGGGAAAGGAGAAGGAGAAATTTTAATGAGTTGGATTTGATAAAAACATGAGAACAATTTTCATGAAAGATTGAATGATTGTCATGAAAGCTACTATATCTGATAATTAATATAAGAAGTAGTTGAGTAATTTGAAGAGATTAAGGGGATTACTAAATTATTTAATTATAACATATGTTACATGATCTTTCTAAAATATTTGTATATATTATTAGATTATATATTAATTTATAAGTGAGAAATTAGTTAAAAGAAAAAAACGATAAATATAAATACTTTAAAATAATCCAATAATTTTTTTTATCTCTCCAGATTAGTTAACTTGGTCTTGTACTAAATACTATAACATTTGTATTAATTCGCCTACTCACCAAATGCGCTCGAATAATTTTCACATCATGATGATTAATGATCTGTCTTAGGATGCATGAATCATTTGCTTTTTTTAATATGAGTTAATTTTCCTGTCCATTTGCACAGCTTGATTTGGGTCTTGTTTATTTAAAAAGAAAACAAGAAGTCATACCTTGAAGTAATAAATTTATTCGAATCATATACATTGTTACGTTTGTTATTATTAATACTTCATTAAAAATATAATGATGAAATGCTCCAATAATGCGTGTCCCAGCGTGGTCCACATATTTTTTTTAATCATTTAATTAATTAGTAGACAATTTATCAACCTTGGCACTCTTTGATGAGGGAAGAATGTTACCAGCATGGCTGTCAAAGTCTAACTTTTGATTAGACCTCACATACATCTTACTGAATATTATGTTGCCGACAGCTGGGTTCCTAAGGAGTGGAGGCGGGTTAATGCATGTGAAGCTGCCTTTATTCTTTCTTATGAACTTTCTTTAACTTTAAATCCATCGAATTCTGTGCTTTAATTTGTGAGTACGATGAGAGCCTCAAGGCATCGGACAACAACGTGAGGAAAGTTATGATGCCGGATTCTATGTATTTAGAGTTTAGACCACGCGCTAGCTTAGCTTCAGCGAGAAAGAACATAATTTTGCAACTTGGATTTAAATTGATTATGATTGAACAGTAATTATTTTTGCCCCATATGGCCGAAACATCATGAACAGTGCTAGGACTTAGTCACTGATTTAAGTTTGCATGTAATCGTTCCTGTAATGAAAATATCTCCGTGAAACAAGGGAATACTGGAAAAGAAAACATCATCCAACTTCTATGTCGTCACTTACCAAGTGATCACCACCATGCTTAGATTTTTGCTCCTTAATGAAAAGCAATTGAACAACCAACAAAGAAAATAAGTGGAGGGTGCTAACTTCTCAATTACCATACAATCAAGATTGAGTTGAGGTGTTTGAAAACCCAAACAGTTAAAAAATGCACGGAGAATATATTTAATTCGAACTCTATAAAGTTACTTTTAAAAAATTAATTCAAACACCCCCTTAATTTTACACTTTAATTTGTTGGTGTATTCATATGTGCGTCTCGTAAGAGTGGATAAAGTACGATGTTCCCATTCTTTATTATATTAATCTCTAACAAGTTTCGATCTAATTGATTTATCATATTAATCGCCTGAGCAGAGTCAACCATTCTTAGATATCAAGGCTGGCGCAGAAAGTTTGAAACTTTGTTGAATTTTGAACTATCAAGTTATTTTAAAGTTTATATTTATAGTAAATAATAGTATTTTATAATAAAAATGACTGAAATATCATATCTACTCCCTAGAGTTTAACGCGCAAGCGCACAGCTCATTGGTTGCCAAGTGGTACAGCCGCCGTACACATTTCCACATGGTCACACCCACGGGAGAAGATCAACGAGGAAGAAAGTTCCTTTCTATCTTTCTTCCTTTCTTTCCTCGCCTATCCCCATCCCCGCTTTTGCGTGGCTGTTACTCTGGAAGGTGGATATATTCTTTATTCCTTTTCAGGTTAAACTCTACTGGTATTCAAATCCATGAGCCAGGAAACTTCTCACTTTTAAAAATCGATGACCGACCTGCATCAGTGAAATTAAGTTATTTTATTCTCGTTTGGACTTGAATAGTTGATAATTCATAACCTCTTACCTTCACATATAGTGCGCGGGGTGGGTCTCCATTTGTGGTCCCTCTTCTTTCAGTTTGTGGATCTATATTTATTCAGATTATGTCATTTTCCATGCATAAAACTATTGCAATATCTAAATCAGTATTTGCAGCCATAAAGCAATCAGTGTTCACCGGCTCAATTCCCATAGGCTCTACAGCTGTTCGTGATATATATGTATATATATATGTATGAATGTATGTACATATGTATGTATGTAATTCACAGCCTCTGTGCCCATTTGAGCCAAGCATCCATTTTTATAGTGTCAACCCCTTTTGTTTATTAAGGCCCTCCCTCACATATTCCCATTGGTGGGGTCACTGGCAAATCTTACTCATTAATGAATAGTTTGGTCCTTTGTGCTTGCTTTTCATGGCCAGTCTTCATCAGATTTGGTGTCTGCTGATGTATTAGCTTCTAATCTTCTGCAGCATTTGTGGCTCTAATTGTAAGGTATGGTAATCAGCAGCTTCTTGAGATATTGTAATTTCTCTTATTTTAGTCACCCCCATTTGATTTTATTTATGTTTTAGGTGGGGATGTTTATTTAATCGAATTCATAGTGATTTTTAATATGCTAATTATTAGAAAAATTTATCTGTTACTTGTCTTTCCCTCTCCTGATCAGCAACGCACTTACATTTTTGACAAATTGCTGGGTCAGTTTTCTCGCGAAAACGACATTCACTGTCGTTGGCCTTCCATTTTAGTTTCTTTCGGAAATTCTAATAATAAAATCATTGTTGTTTTGTGTGAGAACCAATTGCATACAATTTCGTCGGCAAGTTGGGGCCGTGGATGTCTCGCTGATATGTTCACATACTTTCTGCCAGGGTCCCAAGAGCGATCTTCGTCCTATTGGGCGTTCAAATTAATAATCCCAATTCTGTATTGTTATAATCAGAGGAGAAAACCTCTTTTTTAAATATTAACTGCTAAATGGTTCCTAACAATGGTCTGTGGCTGATTCCATATTTAAGAGCTTGTGCTTTGATCCTCTGCCTCAATACATAAGCGATTTTGGGTTCTGTCTGTTGTAGCCTTTTGACTTTGAAGACATGAAAGCAAGGAGGGGAAAACGTTCAGAGGTGTGCCTTTAACGTGCTCTGAAACTCTGACTAATATTTGTGAGAAAAATATCAGCTTTATGGATACTTGTAAACTTTCTAACTTTGTTTCATTTCAGGCATTTTGGCCTTCCCTTGTGATGAAGAAATGGTTAAATATAAAGCCGAAGGTGTATGATTTTAGTGAAGATGAAGTTGATACTGAAACTGAGAGTGAAGACGACGGTAAGCTCTCGGTTTTGTAATTTTTCTTTCTGCTATAGAAGTTTGATCTTTTTTCCGCCTCTTTTTTCACCTTTTTCCTCTTTTGTTCTTTAATTTTCGCGCAGCTTACTCTGTCAAAGGTTCAAGAGTGCGCATTTGTGAAGACAACCCACGCAGAGAGGCAAAGATCCAATCAGTATTCACTAGTCAAACTTCAGGCAATACTTCATTCCCTTCCAACGCTCTCATCCTTGTCTGGAAAGAAACAAGAAAGCTATTTTCCAAAAAAAACTTCCGCCATTGCCTACTCTGGTTATCATAGTTTTTAATATTTGCTTCTTATGATTTCTACAATACCTAAAGAAAGCGGCTTTCCTGCCTTGTATAATTTCGATACGATTTTCTCACCTTTGGGTAGACAATGAAAATTGATTTACGTGCCTTTCAGATGTTACTGGGGAGCTGAAATTTAAAAGAAATTTTAGGAGTTGTTTGATAAGGGTGGCAGGAGTTTCTTAGTACAAATATAGAGCAATTTTCAATATATTCCGCTAACAAATAGGTGTGTTTGCCAGATAAATATTTAAGTCAACCAACTTGATTAGTTTTGCTGTGAACTTCAAATTATTTGATGCCTGTAAGTTCTGACACATGACGAGTTCGTTGTCTTACCATCTTCTGTAATTTGATGTTTGTTCTTCAGATACACCTCCCATGGGTTACAAGACAAGACACAGAAGGGGAAAATCAGAAACTCTGCGCGCTCAGTATATTGATACGAAGGAAATAAGGTTTGCTGGTGTACTCTGATTACGTTGATGTGTCAAACTAGAGTTGTTAATTTAAAAATATTAAAGTAATGCATCTTCAAACTGTTATGGTACAGGGTAACTGTTGGAACTTGGAATGTTGCTGGAAGAGTTCCCTGTGAGGATATTGAGATCGATGACTGGCTTTGTACTGATGAGCCTGCAGATATATACATTATTGGGTGAGTAGTTTCGCAAATCGATTGACTCCTTAAATTTTATATTTTACAAGAGTTTTGTTTCCCAGAAACAAGTTTATCTAGTGTACGACAGCAAAACAATTCATTCTCTCTGATTGATCTTCTCTTTAGCCATTTATATGATTTTTCCCTGAATAATCAAAAGTTAATACTTTTTGCTGGTAATTAAAGAAAGCTCCCATATTCGAAGAGCTGCCATCTTTTACCTATTTGCCTATATTGGACGTGGTCATAATACCCTGGATGCTTAATTTACATTCTCATGGTTCATATGAATTTATCTGATCTTCTAAAACCATAATTAAGCCATATACTTTTAAGAGTGTTCTGGTATTCATTACAATTGGCTTGTGCAATAAAATTTTGGAGTGCGATGGTAAGCTGGATTGGACTTGGGTTCTCTCTAGTTGGACCTAGAGTCCAGTTGGATAAAGAAAGCGAGAGGTTTTGTACCTTTCCCTCTATCTCTCTTCGCCTAACCCTTCTATACCCGGATAGAATCCTCCTCCTTATGTATCTGAGTACTCATGAGTTAATTATTTGTAAGGCTTATTAATGATACTTGTCCTGCGTGTACTATCAACATCTTAATTTGTTCTGCTTACATTTCCTCTTATGCTTCTGGAGTAGTTGCTTTATGTTTATATGTTTTCATGTAACACGAGATGTCCAACCATAACTCTGCCTATGTTTTATAGCCGGTCCCAAGCCCGGATAAAAGAGGAGGGTTGTGCTTGGCCTTTGATAGCCAACACAAAACTTTGTTGAACCATGTAAGGAGGAAATTCAACACTTTGTGTGGCTTTTGTCTCACCAATGGCTTTTGATTTTGAGAAGAACTCAATCCGAACTACCTGTTTGAACAGAGCTGACTAGTCCAGACTGACCACACATTTGTATCTATTTGCAAAGTTGTTAGCAGATAACATGAAATCTAGTCTATTTGAGTGAATTGTTTTGTGCATAGACATAAGACATAGGTTGTAAGGTGCTATTAATAGACTGCTTGGCTGAATTGGTTGTAATATTGGTCTTTCATAGAATGTCTATATTACTGGCTTCCATGCTAACTCTTTTTTCACAGTTTTCAAGAGGTAGTCCCTTTGAATGCTGGCAATGTGTTTGGAGCAGAGGATAATACACCTATCCCAAAATGGGAGGCAATCATTCGAAGAACTCTGAACAAATCTTCTCAAACTGAAAGCAAAATCAAAAGCTACAGTGCCCCTCCTTCTCCAGTATTAAGGACTTCCTCAGCGGCTGATGTTCTAGCAGACAATATAGATGCTAATCCATTAGATATGATGGGTGAGGAGTTCGTAGAAACCATAAAAAAGAATGATTTGGGATATCAGGAAGTGAAAAAGGCGATTGATATAGGAAAAAATTTACACTTGAGTAGAATATATGGCATTGATCTTCATACTAGTCTTGACTGGCCCGAACGTCCGTTAGATGCATTCCCTCAAGCTGTTGATTCCAATTCAAAATTGCGGAGAGTACTGAGCAGCACAGCTAGAATTGGCTTTAATTGGACGGAAAATACTTTAAAATATGGCAATAGGATGAAGCGTTCTCACCACAGTTATGGGAACCTAGGCATGATCTGGAAGGAGGAGAAAGTGGTGCCAAGGGAAATAATTGATTCCCACTCCGATGTGTCCGACATATCTGATGAGGAAGATAACACTATCTTTGAGTTACCAAAGAACCAGGATGATGATGGATTAGGCACTGTGAAATCACGTCCGAGATATGTCCGGATTGTCAGCAAGCAGATGGTAGGGATTTATGTATCAGTTTGGGTTCAGAGGAAGTTGAGAAGGCACATCAATAATTTGAGAGTTTCTCCCGTTGGAGTTGGTCTGATGGGCTACATGGGAAACAAGGTAATTGTGTTTAACATAAATGAGATTGGTCTGGCTTAGAAATATAAATACTGAATGCGTGTCAAGATGTTGAAATCTATGTCAACAAAGCTGCCATAAAACTTCGTGTAGGGTGGCGTGTGGCACATGCATTGATGATATCTATATTAGGTATGTTATGAATATGATCATCAGTGCAATATATTGACAAAAGTCCCCTCCATATCTTGATGTGTTCTTAAAATGTTCCCTGGCAAGCTAGGAGCATTATAGCATGGAAAGTATGAGATAACTTACCATCTGTGGCCACTTACTGATAACACTTGCTTATACTGCTCTAAGTGAATATAATAACAAATTATCGCTTATGCAGGGGTCTGTTTCAGTAAGCATGTCTCTCTTTCACTCGCGGCTGTGCTTTGTTTGCTCTCACCTCACTTCTGGTCAGAAGGATGGAGCTGAATATAGACGAAACTCTGATGTTAATGAAATTCTACGCCGCACCTGCTTCTCATCTCTCATTGATACTGATCAACCACAGACAATCCCATCGCATGAGTAAGAATTATTTTATGATGAAAATTATGATTTAGAATTTGGAACGTGATCAGAACATTAACTGCTGTTAAAAGCAAAATTGTTTGAAAATTGTGAAATTTCAAGTTTGTATGTGTCATTAAATTAATATTGTTTAGTATTAAAAATAAATCATGCTTAAGTATTCTAATGGCTTTATGTTCAGAATGAGCATTTTCTATCCAAATGTTATTAACCGATGGGTTGCTTTCCGATGACAGTCAGATTTTCTGGTTTGGAGATTTGAATTATCGAATCAGTATGTTGGACAGTGATGTAAGAAAACTGGTGGCTCTGAAGAAGTGGGATGAACTAATGAATAATGATCAGGTGAGAGTCATGAAACTCAATTTGTGAAATATTCAAAAGCCGACCTGATTAGGTTTTGACCTTTCCTTATTTTGATCCCCTAGTTTTCATCATCCACTCGCAGTTTGCTTTGATATTTCGTTGCTTAATAAATCTGAGTATGCCTAAAGTTGTGGAAGGGATTGGAAATTTTGGAACCTTACATATATTTATGAACATTTCCATATTCATTAATTGGAACTTGGATGGTCTAGAGTGCAATAAGCAGTTCTCTGATGGCAAGGTGAATAAGGTGAAGGGGGTAGTTTATAGATTACTCCACAAAGATCAGTTGGTTATGATTAGTGGTTTTCTATTAACCAGAGTGACTAAATTAGTCAGTGGCCTCTGCTGTTCTTGCTCCTATCCTATTATTCTATATGCTACAAGCTAAGCTGGACAAAGTTCTAATTCCTTTACCTTATCTGCAGCTAAGCAAAGAAATGCGTTTTAGGCATGTATTTGATGGATGGAAAGAGGGGTTGATAAACTTTCCTCCAACTTACAAGTATGAAATTAACTCAGACAGATATATTGGTGAGAACCCAAAAGAAGGGGAAAAGAGGAGATCTCCTGCATGGTAAGTGCAACACCGAATTGCAATCCTGTGAATATGCCATTGGCAAAGCAACATGTTGTAAGTAATTCTGCATTAACATTATGCAGGTGCGATCGAATATTGTGGATGGGAAAAGGAATAAAGCAACTTTCATATGATCGCGCAGACATAAGGATATCAGATCATCGACCAGTTAGTTCTATCTTCTCAATTGAAGTTGAAGTATTTGACCATCGAAAGCTTCAAAGAGCTCTAAATGTCAACTGTGCAGCAGTACATCCTGAAGTCTTCCTTGATGAAGAAGGAGAGTTCATGAGCTGGATCTGAGATGTCAACATCCTGAAAGTAACATTGTTTTTGGGAGTTTCTCCCTACCTTGGATATCAAGCATTTTGTGAATTTGACAAACAGAGAAGCCATTGAGATAGTTATAACAAAAAAAACTGTATATAGTTATACATAGGACGATTTGAACTTTTTCCTTGTTTCTTTGTTCTTTGGTAGACAACGATTATGTTTTTGATCTAATGAGTTGTGTATCCCTATGATTCTTGTTTTGCTCCTTTGACCATAAACTTCAGGCTGTGGTCTGCCTTCTGTAACATCAGACACATTCTAAATAAACTGACATATTTACACAATGAACAGCTTCTGATGGTCCTCGCTGATTCCTTCCTTTTGCTTCGTTCATTATGTCGCTTGTCGCTTCTAAATTCCAAGGAAAAAAAAACCGGACCGGACCGGCCGGTTCAACCGGAAAACCGGTGAACCGGTCACCAGTCCGGTCTGGTTCACCTAAAAAACCGGACCACAGTTGAACCGGTAGAAAACCGGTTCAACCAGTCAAAACCGGTGCTGAACCGGTAACCACCGGTTACCCGGTTCACTTTTTTTTTACTGAACCCGTCGTTTTGTTAAAAAAAAAAACTCTCAATGAAAATCTCCTTCGGCCCTCACTCTCATCTAGCTAACCAACTTCGCCTTCGATCTTCTTATCTTCCTAAATCTGAAAATCTCCTCCCCCAAATCGCAGAATCGCCTTGCTCCTTCTCCCAGATTCCAACCTTTCCCTCCACCGGAATCCATACCTTCACTGACGGCGGACCTCCTAGTTGGGCCATTCACCGACAGATCTCCTGCTTCGCCTTTGCCGTTCACTAGCATCGTGCTTCCCTGTCGCAGCTTAGATTGCAAGTCGCAGCTCAGATCGCAAGTCGCAACTCAGATCGCAAGTCGCAGCTCACTGGCGTTATGCTTCAAGGATGTTCTGCTTCGCCTTCGTTCACGGAAGCTTCACCTTTGGTCTGTGCGTTGAGGTATATTATGATAAAATTATAAAAGATAAAAACTAGTGAATATTCAGCTTGTGGGTGAACATCTGCTGTCTTGTTTCCATGGTAAAACTCGTGCAATTGCTGAATTGCATATTTGGTGATTAACTACAATTTCCATTTACTTCAAAGTGTTGGTAAAGTGTTGTATTAAGTTTGAATTGAATTGTACCAAAAAAAAGTCTGAATTGAATTAATTCAAAAAAATTTTAAATTTGATATTATGATAAAATTATAAAAGATAAAAAATTAATTTTTAAGATATGTATTTTATTAATGTTCATTTGGTATAATTAAACATTTAAACTACTTTGTTAGCTTCTTATATTTTTCTCAGTGATTATTATTTGTGGATTTTGTTCTATCTTAATGTTGTCAATTAAATTTTATTATTTTAATATGACCGGTCCAACCCCGGTCCGACCTCGGTTCGACCAATGACCCTTAACCCACTGTCTGGACCGGTTTAGTTCCCGGTCCGGTTTTTTGTTCCTTGCTAAATTCTAGGCCTCCTAGGTGTGTCCATGGGTTTGTTTACATTTAAGCACAGATATAACGTGTGGTCAGTCACAAGTGATGTAAATAGTTACAAGAGCACTCAGTTTACCCAAAAAAAGGAAGTTGCGATATTGGATTCTCTGTTTTGAAATTAACTGTTCAAAGTTTTCATAGATCATAAATAAAAACCTATGTGTTTATATCAGATCAAAAGAGGGAAGTTTTTCTTTATGTGTCAAATTAATCTTTAGAGCGTGTAACATTTGCACATTGGATTCGAAAGGAGATTCGAGAGGTGAGGTAGCCACTAGCCACCCAACTTCCCAAGTGTAAAAATCGTAGCGATTGTTTATATATTTACCAAAGCTAAGCTGATCGGAAAGAAAGAAATTATCTAACACGGATATAAGGAGACAATTAAGTCAAGTTGGTTGTATCAACCCTTAAAAAAATAACAGCTGAGAAATTCTGCACACGAGGTTGGTTGGGAAAACATGAGACCACTACTACCAAACGGAACAAGAAAACCTCCTTATCAGTTATAAGATCTTACTTGGCTTGGCTTACGCATGTTGAGTACAAAATTCTGTGACGTTCTCCTTCTCAGTAATCCGAGTGCAAGAACTCACAATTTCCTTCAATGGAGTTTATGAGACTCCTATTAATGGTGTTTACTATTTTGTACAGCACAAAAACTCCGAACGGTGAAGGCCCTCTTGTTTATGGCTACTACAAGGAGACGTGCCCCTTGGCTGAAGATATTGTGAGACACAACGTGGAGGTTGCAGTGTATAAAGACCCTCGTTTGGCAGCCTCGCTACTTCGCTTACATTTCCACGATTGCTTCGTCATGGTAACTAAGTCCTCCAAACACGTTAGTGGCTTAAGGGGATTATGACACGGAACAGGACGATGTAATAAATTTTTGTGTACCATGATTTTGTCTTTCTGAGAATTTTGTGTAATGTTGGAGAGCAGGGGTGTGATGCATCGGTTCTCCTGGACAGCGTGGAGGGCATGACAAGTGAAAAACAGGCAGGACCGAATCTGAATTCATTACGAGGATTTGAGGTTATAGACAAGATTAAGTATTTGCTTGAAGAGGAATGTCCTCATACGGTTTCTTGTGCTGATATTCTCGCCTTGGTTGCTCGTGATGCTGTTGTATCGGTAAAATCCTCTGTTTCATATCTTTTCTGGGTGAAAATTCACCCAAAAATCTAGACTTTCTTGATCTTTATGTAACATAATTACTGTTGCTTGTTGAGAAGAGAGGAGGGCCAACGTGGGAAGTGTTCCTGGGAAGAAAGGATTCCCTCAAGTCAAGCTTCAATGGAGCCAACCAGTTCATCCCTGCTCCAAATTCTTCTTTGGAAACTCTCATAGACAATTTCAAAGCGCAGGGTCTGGACGTACATGACTTGGTAGCCCTATCAGGTATCTACATATTCGTACACATGAATATAATTTCATTGCCCCAGAAAGAAGAAATAAACAAAATTTTGATGAAGCCCATTATTTTACATTGAACTGATCCATTTATTAACAGGCAGCCATACCATAGGAAGGGCAAGATGCACAAGCTTCCGGCAGAGGATTTATGAAACGAAGCCTGAATATCATTATGGCTATGATCGTTACAGGCGGTATACAACCTTCAGAAGAATCCTGCGGTCCATATGCCCTGTTACGGGAAGGGATCACAAGGTCGCACCACTGGATTATGAAACCCCAACCAAGTTTGATAATCATTACTACGTAAACATCCTCGAAGGAAACGGATTGTTGGGTTCTGATAATGTTCTGATCAGCCAGGACCATGAGGGAGTGATTAGAGAACAAGTGTGGGCTTATGCTTCAAACCGAAAGCTTTTCTTTGCTTCGTTTGCCAAGTCCATGATCAAGATGGGAAATATCAACGTCCTCACGGGAGATGAAGGAGAAATCAGGAGGCATTGTAGGTTTGTCAACAGTTATTAACCTGAGAAGTTGATGTTCAGATCTAATTTTTATTATTAATGCCTGAGATATTATGCTGTATGCGCAAGTATAGGCCATGGGATTCTGGTATGATCCAGAATGATTATGGATTCATATTTGCCCCAGATATATATAATTTAAATAATTTGACAATCTCATGTGTTGCCCTTGTCGCTCTTTTTGAGCTGAGGTTTTCTTCCCCCCCCCCCCCCCCAAAACTATTTTCAATTACGACTGACAATTTTAATGAATCCAAGTATGAGATGCTGAATTTTAGACACGCACATGTAATCCAACTGTCACAAGCAATTCCCTGCAGTATAAGCTCCGTTCACCAAAAGCATGCGTGGGACGAGAGATGCAATTCACAGCAAAAAGCTATGACGAGGCTTGATTATGACAAAAGAAGAAAATCAAATTCACCTCCCAAGTGAACTGAGGAAAAAGAAAATTCATGGTAGAAAAAGGAAAAGGAAAAATGTATAAAAGTGGTAAAGACGTGGGCATCAGCTCTCCAAGGTGATAAAGCATCAATGAAAATTTCAGACGCAAATTACCCATTTATAAGATGAGATTCATCACACGCCCACAGGCCATAAAGAAATTGAAACCAATAAAAGGTGTAAAATTTAATCATCACGGTTCAAATCTAACACCCAATTGGACCGAAGATCTAAAATTAGAAGTAAAATCTTTCTTGTTTTTTTTTTTTTGGGTTGGGGGGATAGAAAGGTGGGACAGAGGAAGCGATCAGAACCTGTCGGGATTCATATTCACATCACACAAATATCAGTGGATTGACAGACTAATGAATTTCTATCTTCCTCTCGCATCCAAGCCCCAAGAGCTTCGAAATTTTTGCCCCCAATATTTAACCGTCAGATCAGGGAAAGAAAAGAGAAAAAGAAAACATATTGGCACCGCCTATATTGATCAATAAATGTACATCATACGCGTAAGTATGAGAAAAGACTTGAGCTCAGAACTTCTTAGAGGATATTTGCGCCATCAGCGACGAGCTCACAGGAGACCCGCCTCCGGCACTGTTTCAACTTCATCACAGACTCAGCATGTTTTTTCTCATCCGCTTCGGAACAAACCCTAGCCATAATAAACTAAATCTACATGCTTAACACGCAAGAGCCAAGAAGTGAAGGGCAGAAAACAATAGAGGGGATCAGGATTCAGGAGGAGAACTAGGCGCATTCGCCTTTTGAGCAGCGCGGGTTCTCGTTCTGTAGAGTGTTGGCTACTTGGCGGCAATTTATAGACATAAATTAGGGTTTTATGACCCATACCTTAGGCCGAAAAGGAAAATTGGTTCCAACTTCCAAACGGACTCCAAGAGACTAGCTTTAGGCCCATTTTCTCCCATTCCATCCACGGACACATCAGACAGTTTTTTTTTTTAAAAAAAAAAAGAGAGGCACAACGGAAAATAGTACTGGATTCGATTTTTAATATAAGATTTAATTAATTAATTTAAATATATTAAAAAAATAATTAAATTAGTTATTTGTAATAAATATATATTGTATTTCTTAAATTATTATTGCTAATCAAGTGTATTAGTTAAAACTATAATTGTCACAAAACTACATTAAAAAATATATAAAAATAATAAATAAAATAGATTAGGGTCTTATATATAAAATAAAAATAAAACTAGCTCTTATACTACATTAGGGATTGAAGTAGTATATAATTTGTATTGGATATAAATTTACAAAGAATCATATTATTGATAATTCCCAGTATTGTTTTTTTGGCCAAAAACAAAAGTTTCCTAGTATTGCCTATTGTAATTACTTTGCTTTTTTCAAAAAAAAAAAAATT